TTGCTTTCCTGCTCCTCCATCTTTTTTACTGCAAGTCTCTGTATATGCATATTTCTGAGTCATAAGGTGTGCATATGATTAGCTTTGGTAGATACTTTTGGGAGACAAATGCCATGTTGATGCAAAAATCCTTAATAAAATATTAGCAAACTGAATCCAGCAGTGTGTGTATCTATATACAAAAAATGGTAATGCTTTCCAACCAAGTTGTGCTTATTTCAGGAATACCAGATGGTGTGCTCTTTCTTTTTTTAGTTTCAGGTATGCAACATAATGATTCAGTATTAATATATACTGCAAAGTGATTACAGTAAGTCTAGTTAACATTCATCTAAACATTGTTAAAAGTTCTTGTGATGAGAACTTTTAGGATCTATTCTTAGCAGTTTGCAAATACACGATATAGTACTATTAATTATAGTCACCATGCTGTATATTACATCCCCAGGACTTACTAATTTTATAACTGGATGTTTGTACCCTTTGACCACCTTCACCCATTTCACCCATCTTCCACCCCTGCCTCTGGCAGCCAACAACCAATGTGTTCTCTGTATCTGTGAGTTTGTGTTTTTTTGTTTTTAGATTCCATTATCAGTGAGAACATATGGTATTTCTTCCTCTGTCTGACTTATTTCACTTAGCATTATGCCCAGATTTCCTTTTTAGGACTGAATAATATTCCATTGTATATACCTACCACATTTTTTTATTCATTAGACCATCAATGGGTACTTTGGTTGTCTGTGTCTTGGCTTTTATAAATAATGCTGCAGTGAACATGGTGGTGCATATATCTTTTTGAGTTAGTGCTTTTGTTTCTTTTGGATAAATAACCAGAAGTGGGATTGCTGGATCATACAGTAGTTCTATTTTTAAGTTTTTGAGGAAGCTCCATACTATTTTCCATAGTTTTTCACCAATTTACATTCCCACCAGTGGTGCACAGTGTTCCCTTTTCTCCACATCCTCAGCAACAATTGTTATTTCATGTCTTTTTGATAATAACCATTCTGATGGGTGTGAGGTGATATCTCTTATGTGGTTTTGATTTGGAGTTCCCTGACAATTAGTGATGTTGAGCACGTTTTCATACGTCCATCAGTGATCTGTATGTCTTTTTTGGAAAAATATCTATTCAGATCCTCTGCCCATTTTTCAATTGCATTTTTTTTTTTTACTGTTGTATGAACTTTAAAAATATATTTTGGTTATTAATCCCTTACAGATACATGATTTGCAAATATTTTCTCCCATTCAGTAAGTTGCCTTTTCATTTTCTTGATGGTTTCCTTTGCTGTGCAGAATCTCTTTAGTTTGATGTAGTCCCACTTAATTGTTTTTGCTTTTGTTGCCTTTGTTTTTGGTGTCAAATCCAAAAAATCAACAAGAATGATATCAAGGAGCTTATTGCCTATGTTTTCTTCTAGCTGTTTTACAGTTTTAGGCCTTGTGTTCAAATCTTCATCCATTTTGAGTTAGTTTTTATATATGGTGTAAGATCACAGTCCAGTTTTGTTTTTTGAATGTGGCTGTCCAGTTTTCTTGGTACCATTTATTGAAGAGATTGTCTTTTCCTCAGTGTATATGCCTGGTTTCTTTGTTGTAAATTAGCTGAGCATATATGTGTGGGTTTATTTCTTTGTTCTCTTCCATTGATCTGGTTGTCTTTAGATCATACTGTTTGGTTACTATAGCTTTGTGATACAGTTTGAAATCAGAAAGTGTAACACCTTCAGCTTTGTTCTTATTCCTCGAGATAGCTTTGGCCTTTTGGGGTGTTGTGGGGTTCCATACAAATTTTAGGACTGTTTGTTCTGTTTCTGTGAAAAATCCCACTGGAGTGACAAGAATTGAATTGAATCTGTAGATTGCTTTGGGGAGTATAGGTGTTTTAATGATACTCTTCCAATTCATGAGCCTGGAATATTTTTCCATTTATTTGTTCAGTTTCCCTTATCAGTGTCTTACAATTTTCAGTGTGCAGATCTTTTACTTTTTGTGGCCTAAACTAGGATAAATCATGCATCAAAATGATAGTAATATCAAATTGATAAGTAATAGTAAGTCTAGAAAATGCAACATCTGACTGTTATAGTTAGCCTGACAAAAAACTTAATGTCGTGATCATTTTGCAATATATAAATATTGAATCATTCTGTTGTATACCTGAAAATGAAAATACATTTTTTGTGAAATTTCTTCCTAGGCATTTTATTCTTTTTGATGCAATGGTAAATGGGATTGTTCTCTTAATTTATCTTATGACAGTTCATTATTAGTGTATAGAAATGGAACTGATTTTTGTATATTGATTTTATGTCCTGAAACTTTACCAGATGGTAAGTGAAGATGGTTTAATACTTGAAAATCAATCTATGTAATCTGTCACATTATCAGAATAAAGGAAGGATACCATTTCAATCAATAATCACAACATAATCTTCTCAGTAGAGAAAGAACAGTATGTTCCTTGATAATAGTACACTCATCACACTGAAAAAATGACATTAATATAAAAGTATTACCTCATGAGCAGTGCATATTCAGATTTCTCCAATTGTTCCAATAATATCCTACCTAGCTCTTTTGGTTTGTTTTCTTTTAATTAGAGTGACAGTCCAGGATCAGATAGCATTTAATTGACATGTTTTATTAGATGTGACAACCATTGTATAACATACAAAAAAAATATGAAAGTCTGAACTTAATTATTATAAAGTAAATACCCTTTTAACTGCCACTCATAAAAGTAGATGAACTCTCTCACACCCTCTCATAAATTTTTCACCTGCCCTTTTTCAAATACAGCTCCTTCCCTCTCATCTAAGATTAGCATTCTGATTTTAGTGATTCTTTCTTTTATAGTTTACCTGTTTTACTGTATAGTTTTAATAATATTTTAATACTATAATTTTGATTTTTAATGTCTAATAATAGTCATACTATTTTAGTAATAGCATGTTAACATGGTAAGGATTGGTGATCTGTTTCTGCACTGCTGCTTTGTTTTCCCTTTGCATTTGCATCATTCTCAGATAATCACATCAGGAGGCATGTTATACTGTTTGATGAATGGTGATGTTAACTTTATGTCACCTCATTACATACTTGCCAGTTTTTCACTTTGTAAAGTTATTATTTTCTCCTCTGTAATAGGTACTTTGAGACTAAATTTCCTGTTTTTCATGAAACTTTCTCCTTAGTTTTAGCAGTCATTGTGGATTCTTACCCCAAAGCATTTTTACTATAATGTTAGCCAGATGTTGCATTTTCTAGCTTCATCATTCTATCTGTGGAGTTCTGCTGATAGGCTTTCTATTTTCTTTTGTGTTTATTTCAGCATTTCATGTATTTTTGTTTTATGGATTATATATTCTATTACTATCATTTTGATGCAGAGTTGTCCTACTTTAGGCCAGTGGCAGCAACTTCAACTGGTACCTGAGTCCTTTTGAGATGTCTCTGACATACTCCTTTGAGTGCTTTCTTTCTGGCACAGGATGTTCCAATTTGTTTTTTTCCTAGCCCCAGATCTGGAATAAGCCATTTTCCTAATGATACCTGATTCTTTTAGTGGATAATGGTACTCAGAAGCAAAACTTGTTGGGGCTAGGAATGTTGGCTCTTTATATTGATCCTATTTAGGATTTATAGAGCTTTTTGTATTCAGTTTGATATTTTGTAGAAATTTGGGGAAATTATTGACCATTTCCTCTTTAAACATTGCTTTTGCTCCATTCTGTTTTCTCTTCTGGGATTTCTTCAGTTACTCATGTGTTAGACCTTTTCACTATATCCTTTATGTCTCTTATAAACATTACTCTATTATCCTTCCTTTTTTCTTTCTGTGCTTTAATTCTATAATCCTTTCTCTTTGTATTAAACCATATATTAAAATTTTTAATAGTTGTTACATTTTTCAGTTCTAGGGTTTCCATTTGACTTCTTTAAGTAGATTGCACTTGTCTGGTGAAATTCTTGCTATCATCTATGTTTTTAAATATATTAATCATAATTATTTTAAAATCTGTGTCTGATAACTCCAGTATCTGGGTCACTGAGTATCTGATTCTATAGTGTTTCTATATACCTCCCCTCCCATCTCTAGAGTCATTTTTCTGGAATAAGCAATTTGATTATCTGTTTATAAAGTTATAAAAATGTTAGTATTCTTAGATTCCCTGAAATGCAATTACTTGATCTATCTTCATCAGTCAACCTTTTGATGAATTTTTTGTAACAAACAACCCTGGAATCTCAGTGGGTTCATGTCTCTCCCAGTTCACATTCTGTTGGCCAGTACGGTTCATGTGGCCAAGCCTGCAGTTCATAGGGTAAGGAGTGCATGTGCTACTCACACAGGAGGCATTGCAAGTTAACACGGGAGGGAGGAGTGAATAATTGGGGACAGTAATACAATTTAACTCATTAGCCTGAAGAAAAACCCCCACGTTTAAAAAAAGCTGTATGTGCATGAAGATGTTAATATGGGATTACTAATAATGATAAAAATTATAAACAGTACTAATAAGGAACTTAATGGTATATTCAGTGAATGTTAGTGTAGTTATTAAAATGATCATTGTAATACCAAGCAACATAGGAAAATGCATTTAATATCTGTTAAGTGAAAAAGCAATGCACAGAGTATATATACCCTGTGAGTACAGCTTTGTACACATGATCATACTTGTAAGAAGAGGCTATAAAAATGAAAATAGTCACTACTGGATGATAGACTTTTGGAGTGATTTTTCATTTTTAAGCTTAAACTTTCTATAGTGTTGTTATTTTATAAATTACAAATAATTTTGTTTTCTAAAAGGTTATTTTTCATTCCAGAAGTCATTTACATTTATCAGAGAAATGTTGGAAAATGCAGAAAAAAAAAATTAAACAGCAAACTCTGTACTTACCTCCCCAAACCACCATGTAGCTATTTCCGGTATATTAAAAAAATTCCCAGATTAACCTTGTGTTGTCCTATTTTGTTTTAGGTCCTGAAAATCCTTGGTTGGTCCAAGCTTATGTTTCAGCAGCTAAACACCCTTTTGCTTCTGTGGTGGCTCAGGAGGTTTTTCAGAGTGGAATCATTCCCTCAGATACCGACTTCCGTATCTATAGGGATTTTGGGAACATTCCAGGTATTTTGTTAATCATTATGGGCTGCAGTGTGACTGTGATTAATCAAAAGCAGGTTTTACTTTTTGGAAGTTTGTGAGTAAATAGCATTTTCTGAGAGCAGATTCTCTTTAGGAGAGCTGTATATTCTGACTCCTCAAACTGAGTTTCTGATATTTCCCTTTTCTTTTAAACTCCAGTCCAGTTTAAATGCCTTGCCTTTTCTAGAACATGTCATCTTGCCCCATAATGTGACAGAAGAATGGGGGAGAACTGTTTAGCACTTCATTCCCATAAGATGGTAACACATCCTTCAGGGGTCTTTGACTTTTGTAGATCTTTGTTTTACCAGCTCCCTTGGAGGCTTGTATTGCTTATTTGAAGTTAAATTTTGGCTCTGACTTGGCAAGGATGTAATTGGCAATATTTCAGTTACCTCCCACACTCGGTATTCCTACTCATTGCCGTGTAACTTGTGAGGCCTCCCAGTGCAGTAGTAAACATCCTAAGTCCCTGGGTACTGAATTACATCCCATAGCTGTAGGTTCTCTGAGAACTTGCATCATTCATCCATAAATGTGACAAGGCAATCATGCCTCTGGTGTGACATTTCATCTTTTAGGAATTTAATAATTTAAACAAATAGGCCTAAAGCAAGGTTGATCTTTGAAGCAAATGACTTTTTTTTTTCTTAATGTCTTAGGAATAGACTTAGCTTTTATTGAGAACGGATACATTTATCACACCAAGTATGACACAGCAGACAGAATTCTCACAGATTCCATTCAGAGAGCAGGTTGGTATTTGAATTCAGACTTCTGATATATTGTAAGATGGAATATTAAGGATGGCCTATAACCCTATAAATATTCTGTGGACTGTGCATTAGGGAGGCAGTGCATAGTGTGAGTTAGCTGGGGCTTGCAGTTGGAGAGGGTTTGAATTTTAGCCTTGAAGTCTAGCTTAGCAGTTACGATGTAGGATTATTCATGGGGATGAATTAGAAAGGGAGCTGACAGGGTTGTGGTAGAATTACCAAGTATGAGAGGGTAGCCAAAATCAAAGTTATAAGTGGAGGTGGTACCAGCACATGGTTGGTTTAAAAAATAACCTCAGTTCAGGGTTGGGTGATGAAGGCAGGAGAGTGGGCCTTGTCTTTTGGTTCACCACTGAATTTCTGGTGTCTACACACAGTCTGCTATATCAAATATATGTTAAATGATGGGGACTAAGCAATAGCTGTTGGGTTTGCCAGCAGGAAGGGCGCGATCGAGCAGAGAAGTTCTCACAGAAGGCCACTTGGCTGCGTTCTAAGTGTAGAGGAGACAGCGTAGGGGGCATGGACCTTATTTGAGAAATTTATTAAGAAAAGCTGGGGAGAGCAACAGGATGGTAGAAAGCTCTTTCTGTGCACATTCCTTCTAGGTATTTCTTCACTCAAACAGTTTATTTGAGTGGTTTATTCAACTTTGTTGTCTTTTCTTTACTGATAGGTGACAACATTTTAGCAGTTCTTAAATATTTGGCAACATCTGATATATTGACTGCTGCTGCTGACTATCGACATGGAAACATGGTCTTCTTTGATGTGCTCGGCCTGTTCGTCATCGCCTACCCATCTCGTGTTGGCTCGATAATTAACTGCATGGTGGTAATGGCTGTTGTTTTGTACCTGGGCAAAAAATTGTTGCAGCCCAAACATAAAAGTAAGTGTTTTCCTCTAAAAATGCAGTACTGGCATGGGTATAGAATGTGCTTGTAGTTTTTTAGTCAGTTTATATCCTTCCAAGAAGTTAAAAATCTTTAGAAATACAACATTTGAGTTATATTGTAAGAAATTTCTACATAAATGTCAGATTCATGTACTTATTCTACTAGTCTTGGTGAAGCAAGCAATTTTTTTTTTTTTTATGTGCTTAGGCTCTCCTTAGAAGTGCCACATATGAGCTATTGAAATATGGTTGGTACAGATTGACTTTTAGTGAAAAACCCCATTAAAAAGTTTTGTCCAAGCTACAGACCAGTAGCACAGTGTTCTGAAGTATGAATGAACTGCTTTTGCTTAAATTGGTCTCCCACCTGAAATATTTCATGGTCTAAGTTGGTATGTGTTTTTATGAGATAAAATATTTAACAGCAATTTAAATAATCCTTTATCACCAATGATTTTCCTGTGTTCTTTCTCTTCCCATGCTAGCTTCTTTTAGGAAGATTTTATATAGAACTTTGCCTTCCATTCTTGCTGGTATTTAGATACACAAAGCATCCCAAAGATGATGAAGATCGATTACCTACTTTCCTAGTCAGGCATCTGAATTATTCCTGGAAGACTTGCCTCTTTGAGTCTTCACTTCCCACTGACTCTCAGTAAACGTTACTTGAATATTGTTTGTTGATACCTTCCCTGTTCTAGTGTTTAACAAACCTTATTCTTAGGACATTTCAGTACTTTTCAATTACAATGGTGAATTTTTTAACATTTGCCCCTTTGACTCTAATGACTGGTTATGGAATTGATTTGCTAAACAAACTTTGTGTTTTCTCTTCATTAGCTGCTAATTACACAAAGGACTTCTTCTGTGGACTTGGCATCACTCTGATAAGCTGGTTCACTAGCCTGGTTACCGTTCTCATTATAGCAGTGTTCATTTCTCTCATTGGACAGTCTCTGTCATGGTACAACCACTTCTATGTCTCCGTTTGTTTATATGGAACTGCAGCTGTAGCCAAAATAATATTTATTCATACCCTCGCAAAAAAACTTTATTATGTGGTAAGTGTTAAGCATATATATTGTTTTTTGAACTATGTGAATTTTCTGGAAGACTTCTTATTCTGAGGGTTTTGTTGCAGACTTCAAATAGGATTATAAAACTAAATAGTGTTTGGGGTGGGGTAACAGCAGGCTTGTTAGTGCAGCTGTCTGCCTCTGCTCTGTCTGCTGGTTTTCATAACCATGGGCTTGGCTCTCTCAGCCCTCCCTGTACTCATCTCAATTATTTGTTCGAATAGCTGTTTTTCAGGCACTGTAAGCTCTGTGAGGGCAGGGATTGTTCTGTTCATACCCCCTGTGCTTAGGCAGTGCCTGACACACAGCACTAACACTCAGTATTTGCTGCCTGAAAGAATGTTGCACTTAATGCTGCACTTCAAGCTTTCTCTTTATTTCCTTCACTTTTAAACTTGTATGTTATTGATGCAGATTCTGACAGCATGTATGTGTGGTATGGGGGTTAAAGACACATTGCTAGGGAAAAAGGTGGGTAGGGAGATAGGGCTACTAAATGGTATGTGCTGATTTATAGAATATTGCCATATTGTTAGGGTTTCCACTGTGTAGATTTGTTTGGTAAAAATAAAATTAAGAATTAGGGTTATGAAATAGGACTAAAATTACAGTGAGAGAGTGAGCCATGGTTTCTGATTTTCTAAGTGAGTTAAAGGGAAAATCTTTTAGCTCTATATTTTTCAAGACAGCCATTGTACACCTGTTTTCTCAGTTTGTTCTGCTAGGGATTAAAATGGAGACATGGGAGACTGTAATCCAGAATCCTTCCATAAGGATCTCTTTGGGACCTGAACCTTGGTCTCAGTTTCAGTCAGTGTTGGGATATGGTCTGAGGAGTGCTTCCATGTTAGCATGTCCTGTTGAAAAGGTTCCTTGAGGTTAGCCATCTATTTATGGTTGAGCTAATATATCTTATTGGCTTCAGTTTCCAAAAGAATTATACCATGGGACTCAATTGCACATGCTTATTTTTAGTGCACAGTATGTAACCAGATGTGGCTGACTATTGTTGGTGGGCCTGAGGAAGACAGAAGTGCTTACTAAAACTCCATTCACTTTGAATAATTTCAGTTGTCCAGTCAGGAAACTTAGGGTTGAAAGCACAATGGAGAGAGTAGTGTGTTTCATTTGCATTTCACAAATACTCTTTGGGTACCCAGTGGGCCTGGTACCATGCTAAGGCCTGGGGATTACAGAGTCATAAGGATGTGTTCTCTTTCATTGAAGATCTCACAGTTTCATTTTTGAAGACGGGGAAACCACAGTGATTGCAGTACTTTGGGTTGAAGTGAAATAGAGTGATACATTACCAGCCTGTAGGCATATAGGGCCAGGAGAGATGAATTTTGTTTGTGGAGGTCAGGAAGGTTTCATGAAGGAGGAGGTGATATTTGAACTGGGTTTTTGAAGCATGAGTAGAAATGTGCCAGATAGAGAACAGGTTGATGGACAGTCAAGGTGGGAATGTACAAGATGCATTGGGTCATAGTCACTAAAAACTTCATTGTGGTGAAGACAAAGGAGATGGTACAATAACTGGAAAAGTAAGCCAGCGTGAAGTTGGTGCATCACATTGAAAATCAGAGAGGCCACCATTAAAATTTTCTAAGCAAGATAGTGAGTGAGAGATTTGTGACTTAGTATAGAAACTCTGGTAACAGAGGATAGAATTGATTAGAAACTGGATTTGAGGGATGTTTGATTTTTCTATACAATTTGGAAATTTAATGTAAAACTGGTCTTCATTGCTGAGATCTTTGTTTTTAATGATTTGAGTGACACTTGGCTTTGACTTGAATCCTAATAATTTTCTTCTTTTTAATTAAAGACCATGCCTCTTAGTTAATACTGTGTTGAACATCTAAGTATTTTATGATGATAGTCTATCTTTTATTGTCTGGAGGGGTTTGTCAAATGAACCTGTTTTGGAAATGTGACTGAAACTCATTTGAGTTCTTGAAGTAGGGTCCCTTATAACAAAAATGCCCTGGGCTATACAGAAATGAGTGGGCAGAGAAGAGAAAGACTTCAAGTATATCTATTTCCACTTTGGTATTTCTGCACCGAAATTACAACTTTCATGTTTACATTAATAGAGGTGCAGATATTAAAATGTATTAAAACTCAAGGTGTTGCACAGGAAGATTCAGATTTCAAGCTCAAAAAATATAGATTAAAGTTTACAATGTGAAAACACTAGGAATCCAAGATGGAGGCAGAGTTGCAGAGCTCCACACCAGCTGGAGATGCAGGAATCAAGCAGAACGGATCTGTACTCCTGCACTTTTCCGAGTACATGCTTGGTGGCGCTGCAGCAGCCTAGCCTGCTCTTCACGGGCCATTTCTTTCTCTAGTAGTTTGAAATTCTTTTAGAACATTTCCAAAGGTTACTTTTAGCCCGGTGGAGGAGAAGTACAGATTATATAAAAGGAATTATGTTTTTACCTCATCTTGTGCAGCAATTTGCCAGGAGTAGCTCTGATAGTGTTTACTTTAAAGTGTAAAGGCTAGATCCTCCTTAAACCAAAATATAGCTCTTCTCAGTAATGGAAATTATGTTACAATAGAAGATCTCAATGTATGACCTGTGAATGAGACTACTTGTATATTTTTCTTTCTTTCAGAATGCCAGTGACCAGTATCTGGGAGACATATTTTTTGACATCTCGCTGTGTGTGCATTGTGGTTTCCTTACAGCTCTCACTTACCGAGGACTTTGCTCAGCATTTATTAGTGCTGTTTGGGTGGCATTTCCATTGCTCACAAAGCTTTGCGTGCACAAGGACTTTAAGCAGCATGGTAGGGTATTTTTGAATTTGAGACAAATGGGAAAATGCCTTAAAATACATAAGGCTTCCAGGAAGCCTTTTTTTTTTCTTTTTATCTTTTTGGGTAGGCTTTCTAAATTGTTGCTGTTTAATTTTCAGATCACATAGATTTTTACCTTATACCCTGCCCAATTCTCACATTTATGAACATGTGCTAATATATTCTCGACATATTTTAATTCTTATTTGTATTTTGTCCTGAGTGAAAGTGTTCTTATCTCACTAGATAACATGTATCAGTGTGGTTAGAGTCATACCTAACCTAACTTGTGTTAGGTATCAAGGTGCACCAGTACTATAAAAATCTCTGTCTTACTCTAGGATTTCAGAGATGTGCATGCTTTGTTTCCCTAGGTGCCCGAGGAAAATTTGTTGCCTTTTACCTTTTGGGGATGTTTATTCCTTACCTATATGCATTTTACCTCATCTGGGCCGTATTTGAGATGTTTACCCCTATCCTTGGGAGGAGTGGTTCGGAAATTCCACCGGATGTTGTGCTGGCTTCCATTTTGGCTGGTTGTACCATGATTCTCTCTTCCTATTTTGTAAGAAAAATTTTTAAATTTTCTTTTTCATTTTTTATATAAATGTGTGATGAGTTTAGGCTATACTAGTTTCTGTGGAGTAATGTTGCTTTTACTTTATTGAGGCACTCTTAAGCAAAAGAAATTGTTAATGGCTATGCATATTGTGGACTTGGTATGGTGAGAAAATATAGAATGGGGTTTTTGTCATTTTTATTTCTGCCTCCTCATCCTCCCAAATTCTCTGATTATACCTCTTTTGAAATAGCTCTTCAAACTACCTGAATGTGAATCTGTAGAGTGCATACCAAGAGAGAATTGGTAGAGATTGCTTGGTGGCAAATTTTTAGACTGACTCCTAATAGTATGTCTTGAACTTAAAATTAGAGGCAAATGTCAATAAGTGCATGGTAGTTTTATTAGTACTGTTAGAGCTAATGAAGGAAGACTAATTCTTATGAGGCTTTTTCCATTTTTATTTAACTGCCTCGTACAGCAAAGGTCGTTAATTGAGTCTGTCTCCTTGAATGATATACACTTATGACACCCAAATACACTTTTATTTACCAAGTAATGAGAATGTCATAGGCCTTGGCATTTTGCTGTAACACTGTTCTGCCCTTGTAGAGAGAGCCCAACCTTTGCTCTCCAGAGGGAAGAAAAGACCTGTTACCAAGTTGACAACCTCCCCCTTTGTTAGAACAGCTCTGGGCAGAGTTCTTCTCTCGGCATGATGCCAGTATTCCTCAGGACTCAGGCCTGGCCCCTCTAGAGGAGACGGGTCTCCATTTTGTGACTCCTTAGTGGAATTCCTAAGAATAAGAAGAACTTGTTGAATACCTACGGGAACACACTGAGTTTTGTCACTAGGAGACCAAATAGAAAAAGTAATGATTTTATATAGTTTTTTCCTCCATGGAGATAATAGAGAACTTTTCATACTGATATAGTAAAGGGCATCTCATGTGAGCTAGGATCTAGAGTTGGCAGGTGAGAAAGCCACATGCGTGGTCAGCATTATCTGTGGAAGTCCCTTAAACAGCCAATAAATAGTTGTGTGTGTGACTGCATATATAGCCATGTAGAGTAATTCTTATGCACACTATTGTTTAAGGCCAGCTGTACTAATTCTAAAAGAAATCTGAGCATTTCAGCCATTTTACCTTTAATATAATGATTAAGTCCTTATTGGTATTTGCAGGGATGGATGGAAGATTCTAAAATGTTCTTTGTTGCCTCTAGGGTTTACTTCTTTTGGTTTTAATATCAAGCCTTTAAATCCTCTGCACATGGCAGTAGATATGTTGTATTAGGTGCTGTTGTGCGGATTAAAGGAGATGGTGGAGTTTTGTCATATGTAGGTTGGGTTCTAATCTAGAGTCAGCTAAATTATAAAGAAGGACCTCCCTCCTAGTATATTTAAATAAGTCCATGAATGAAAGGTAAGATACTCATAAAAGATGATTAAATTCAATTCTGTTCCACATGGAGTAGGACAAAATGAACCCTGAAAACCTCACTGTGGAAATTGAAAATGACCCCAAAGCTTTGAAATCTTGGAAACCATACTTTACTAGGAAAGCTTTTGGAGAGCGCCTCTTGGAGTAACTTTAAAACCTCATTTAATTTTCATTATAATGTGAAATAGTTTGCAGCTCTTTGATGTTGTGGACTGTCATTCTCTTCATTATTTTCTTATTTACGTGGAGCAGTGTTACAGATAGTGGCTTATCGATAGAGTGAGCCCGTTCTTCTTGGGTAATGGAGAATCAAACCCCAACGCATATTTAAGAGCTTTTCTTTTGGTCCTTTGGGGACCAAAATTAAATGTATTTATCATTACTAAATATATTTATGAGGAAGCAATTAAATTTCTGCCACATGATCAGTTAACAGGCTTCTGGGGTCATCCTGTGCTGGGACTCTCTCTTTTGGTCACATCTGGTTAAATAAGGCTGCCGTTGGGAGTGGGATCAGGAGACCCCCCCGAGAGGAACAGAAACAGCCAGCACACTTGAATATTTTATAGTCCTTCGTTATGCTTCTCTTCATTTTATTTTGCATCCATTTCAGAACCTAGAGTGATATCATATAACATTTAAGGCAGAAATAAGAGGCAGTGAAATTTAAAGCAGGGTAATCCAGACACATTATGACTTAGACCATCCTCCTCTTCCTTCTCTGGTCTGCAATTGCTATTTTATTTATCACAGTTACCATACTTCCTCCAGAAGATAGGTAGTTCTTTAATAAAAGCCTGATTTTGTGCAGTGTTAACTAAGAGCATTGATAAAATTGGAAAAAAAATAAGGTTGTGGTTTGACTGGTGGTGGATATACAGCCCTCGTCTCTTTGCCAGCTGAGCAGAGACACTGTTGCAGTTTCTTTTTTCTTCTTGCTGTCTGGCTGCCTGTTGAAAAGGCCCATCCTGGCAGATGGGAGCAGCTCTCATACACCTAGGCTCTGACTTGTGATGCACATCCCTTATAATTAGTCCTTTGTCATAATTAGTGTTGGGTGATGGAGCATGTTAGCATACACGTATACAGGTTCTTTATTATCTCTCAGATGATATCTGCTTAACATATAGTCAGTTAAAACCACTTTCCTGCCGTGGAAAATTTTTCTGTGTTTTGTGTTTTAGATTAACTTCATTTACCTTGCCAAAAGCACCAAAAAAACCATGTTAACTTTAACTTTGGTATGTACGGTCACATTCCTCCTCGTCTGCAGTGGGACTTTTTTCCCGTACAGCTCTAATCCTGCCAGTCCGAAGCCAAAGAGGGTGTTTCTTCAGGTAAGAGCAATTTTGCATGAGTTATTTGAGATTCTGGCAAGCATAGCCTTGTGTGTTTTGAGCTTCACTAGTCAACAGGAAAACCAACTGACTTTTCTGCTGTTGACCTATTTAACTGTACTTGACTCTTTTGTGTAAGGCAGTGAGGAAAACACTACCATCAAGAGACATTCTTACCAGCTTGACCCACTTCTCCCAAGAGACTGAATCGGAAATATTCACTCGTTTTTATTACTGTTCAATTATAAAAATGCACCTATGTGGAAAAACAAGAGCATGTGTATCATGGAATAATGAGCTTTTACTTGTAAGAATTGCAAAAATGTCTGCAGGGATGAGTAAAAGATCTGAACTGTCAACTGGCAAAATAAAATATTTTAAAATGCTAGTAAAATTATCTTAAGTAATGTTCAAAGTAATATGTGATAATGAAGCCGTAACTTAGAAAGGGATTTTTAAAATGAGATTTAGAATTTTCTTAGATTTCAGGCTTTTCTGTAAACTTTTTAGAGCTGGTACTTACAAAGCAGGAAAAAGCTAAGTTGCCTTATATCCAGTCGTCTTCTCTGTTAGAGTTTGGGTTGGACAAACAGAAAAGCCCAAGAGTCATAACCAAGATAATTATTCAGGGTCTTCAATAAATCAGAGGAGATTCTTAAAAAGGGTCTACTATTCCTTATTTACAGTCCTGGAAGACACAATTGTACATTTTATGAGACAAACTTGAGAACGTGCAAAGCCTATAGTGAGGAACAGCTGGTTTAAGAGATTTCAGTGTTTTGCTAATTTTTATAATTCTATCAGTAGTACTTAGGAACAGTTAGATTTTTATTTTTAAAAACTCTGTTCTGATTTGTTTTGGGGCTCTGTTTTCCCAGTGCCAGAAGTTAGGAAACTGTTCTATAAAGGGCCAGATAATAAATATTTTAGGGTCTGCCAGCCATATAGTTTGTTGCAGCTACTGTTTTACAGAGCAAACCAGCCATAGACAATTCCTAAAACAAATGAGTGTGGCCATGTTCCAGTGAAGCTTTATTTATAAAAGTGGTCGTGGGCCATTTGGCCCGTGGTCTGAAGTTTACCGGCACTCTGCCTATGCAATCCTCCCCTTCCCTATGCGGTCCTTTTCCTTTTACTGCTTGGAATTCTTCGGGCTGGCTTCTGCTGTTAAAGCTATCCCAGATGGAGCATGGTGCTTTTCCATCTATTGTCAGGCACACATCTGTCATCTAGTGGCAAGCTGTGATTGCTTTTCTCTGCACATGGATTAGCTTCATGTCACACAATGAAGGGGAATTGAAGTTTACCGGCACTCTGCCTATGCAATCCTCCCCTTCCCTATGCGGTCCTTTTCCTTTTACTGCTTGGAATTCTTCGGGCTGGCTTCTGCTGTTAAAGCTATCCCAGATGGAGCATGGTGCTTTTCCATCTATTGTCAGGCACACATCTGTCATCTAGTGGCAAGCTGTGATTGCTTTTCTCTGCACATGGATTAGCTTCATGTCACACAATGAAGGGGAAGGGGAAATGAATGTGTGTATATTTAATTATCTTAGGACGTAAGTCCTTATCTAAAAGGAGTTCTATTATCTTAAGTCCTTATCTGAAAGGAGTTGTAGTATTCATGTCTTTTAAATCTAAAATAATAGGCTTTCCAAAAATTTTTGTATGAATTATGTCTGTACGATATAGTGAAACTGGGTATCTGTATATCCATCATCAAATATAAAAGGTTAGCAATACCTTAGAAAACCCGATGTCCTCTTCTTGACCCCAGCTCTCCCCTCTGCATCTCCCCACCCCACAAAGAAGTGCTCATATCTTGAAGTCTGGTACCTTACTTTTATATTTATGAATCCCTAAACAATATCAGAAACTTTTGCTTATGTTTGATCTTCTTACAGATAAAGCCATACCATAAATATTCATTTGTGACTTGTGTCCTTTTGCCCGAAAGCATGTGAGAATTTCCCATAGTGATTTCTCTCACTGCAGTTCATTATTTGTCATTGCTGAATAGATTTCTGATGTAGGATGGTACTGTAATAGAATATTTGCCTGTTCTACTGTTACTGGACATTTGGGTTGTTTCCAGTTGTTGCTAATACAGACATCGCTGAATCAACGCTTTTGTACATTGCAAGAGTTTCTCTAAGGTAAACATTTTTAGAAGTGGAATTGCTGGCTTGAATGTGCATATTAACTTTATTGGGTAATGTTACAGTTTCCTGTAGTGATCCTGCCGGCATATACTCTCTCCAGCAGTGTATGAGGGTTCCTGTTGCTCCACAGCAACATCATTTCTTGGTACTGTTAGACTTACTCATTTTTAAAAAATCTGGGGTGGTCATGTGGGTGAAGGAGTTGAAACAGTTTTCTAATTCATCTCATTCTTTTCAGCATGTGACTAGAACATTTCATGACTTGGATGGAAATGTAGTTAAACGGGACTCTGGAATATGGATCAATGGGTTTGATTATACCGGAATATCTCACATAACACCTCACATTCCTGAGATCAACGATACGATCCGAGCTCACTGTGAGGAGGATGCACCCCTCTGCGGCTTCCCTTGGTATCTTCCAGTGCACTTTCTCATCAGGTGGGTTCATTACTTTGCTGCTTTAGTTGGGGGTGAGTTTGTTCTCAAGTCCTATCACTCTGTCGGTACTTCATTATTTAGACTGTTTAACACAGAAGTCCAGTAGCATTTAAACTGTTCTTTTTTTCCTATCACAATAAAAATTCTCTTTCTCTTTTGAGAGAAAAGATTTATCATTGTAGTTTTATTTTTTTCAAATTTAGGAAATCCTTCCTTTAGAAACCTGAGTATTTAGAAAGCATGGCCTTAACTGGTCTAATAAGTCTTATTTCTGGGCAGTTTTTATGATTAAGCAATGAAGGATTGGATGAGAAGAAAGAGGATGGGTAGTTGAAATAAAATCACCTAGGATTCTTTTTCCTTAACTTTGGAAAGGTTTTCTTGCACAATAACTTGGGCTTCAGAGGAACTGGCATTGTTTTTCATATCCATCAGAATTTATAGTCATACCCCAAAATGTGTTTCATATATCCTCAGTACTTCCATGAGTTATAGTTAGCTATCAACTAGTTAATTATCCTAAATATTGAAGCTACCTTTCCAAATAGGAAAAACTGGTATCTTCCTGCCCCAGAAGTTTCTCCAAGAGATCCTGCTCATTTCAGACTTGTATCCAAAGAACAGACACCCTGGGATTCTATAAAGCTGACCTTTGAGGCAACAGGTAAGTCTTAACAACAGTATTTTCTTTTTTCCTTCACTTCTTAAAGTTCTTAGTAAGTGTGTATGTTTATCCCTCAAATTTATAATCATGACCAGCAACTTATGAAGAACTTAGTGTTTCTAAAAGCAACTGAAGTGGGTTATGATTTTTTAAACAAAATTTAATAGATTATTTTTTAAAGCAGTTTTAGATTTATAGAAAAAATGGAGCAAAAAGTACAAAGAATGCCCATATTTCCTCTCCCACCAGCTTTCCCTAATATTAACATCTTGCGTTAGTGTGGTACATTTCTTAATAAGCAGTATTGATAAATTATTATAAACTAAAGCTCTTAGTTTACACTAAGGTTAGTTTGCTCTGTCTTTTATAGTTCTGTGGGTTTTGACAAATGCATAAAGTCATGTATCCACCATTACAGTATCATACAGAATAGATTCATGGCCCTAAAAATCCCATGCTCCTGTAACTCCAGGGAGAAAAAACCCTGGGGCAAAATACCTCTACAACCAAAATCAGTCAAAGGGAGAAATAAAGTTTAAAACGTTTATTGCTAACAAACTGAGGTCCAGGGGCCAAGAAGCTCCAGCAGAAGCAAGTGAGACCTTCTGGCAACCTCTCAGGTTCAGATAAGCCCTCTTTTGTCCAGGTAATTACCCATTGATATGGAGATGAACTACTTCTCTCCACCCCTTAGGAACACCTGTTCATATGGCAATGCACTAAAGCCAGGCTAGATACTGGAATATTACAGTTTTACCCACAGGCTACCCCTCCAGAAATCTCCCCTTACAATCTGCTCATTCCCCATCTTCTTCAATGGTCCCTGGGTGAGAAAACTGGAGCTTTGTGACCAGACTAATGACATACAATAGTAACAGCAATAAAATCATGACAATCCTCAAGCTGGAGGTTTCAGCTGGGTTCAAAGTCCTATGCAGATTAAGGCCATAGCTTGCCCATTCCACAGGCAGTCAGTAGAAGAAGAGGTAATGGATTCAGAGCAGTCATCACACGGCAGCTGCAGCCAGGGGCATGTCCAGGCCACAAGGACTGTAGAAGAAAATAACCTTAAAGGTGATAAGATACATGTTTTAATGACACCAACATAGGCAAATCTTGTCCATCAGGTGGGATACATGCAAGAGAGTGGTCCTGTGATAGTACAGTGGCAGGAATGGGATCTTGTCCTGGTTTGGTATACCAGACTTTCACCCCCCTCCATGTGAGAGTTACAGATGGGTCAATATGTAGGGCTATGGGAGGTACATGCACTGGCAATAAAGATAAAACAAAACTTCCCCATAAGATGCTCTTACCTCCTGGATGTTTTGGGTACACTACCATGATCTTTGGGGGCCACTCTGCTGTTACTCCAGGAACACACAGGAGGCCAGCTTCTGGGCCTTTCTCCTGAGGTGCCAGAAGGGCCAGCCATCGATGATCCATGTGTTGAAATGTCCAGGGCCACGTCCATTCAGCAGTGTCTCCAGGGTTTAATGCAGTTGGAGCTGGCAGTAGAATGTTGCTCCACTGGCCATATCCTGGCTTCAATATCCCTTCTCTGGTTTGCACATATGGTTGTATAGGAGAGGCAGCAAGGTGTGTGAGTATGTCCACCTTGGCTCAGAATTCCTTTTTGTGGCTTCTCATTCAAACGCCGTAGCACTGCCCATAAGTGAACTGACCAGCCCCGTAGATGATTGGTGTCTGACTTCAGGCCAGATTTCAATAAACCGTTGTGCCTCTCTATCATGCCTGCCATGGTAGGTTTATACAGTACATGGAATTTCCACTTTATTCCTAATTGCTGCACCCATCCTAGTAATGCATGTCCAGTAAAGTGGGTGCCTTGATCGCTCAATCACCTGCGGCCAGCCATAGGCTGCAAAGAGATCCTCTAGGCCCCTCTTGGTGTTTTGCTGATCTGCACGACGTGCAGGAAAAGCAACCAAGAGTCCAGTAGCCATGTCCATACAAGTCATGGCATACTGATATCCTTCTGATATGGGCAGAGGCCCAATATAGTCTATTTGCCACCTGACAAGAGGTATCGGCCCCTTTACTGTTGTCCCATGTTGCTGCGGGACTCAGTGTAAGTCCCTCTTAGGGTACACAAAGCACTCCTTCCGGGCTTTGCTGATTTCTTCAAAGGTCAATGGTAAGTCCCACCAATGGGCTACAGCCCACATTGTCTTTTGCCCCGTGTGCAGCTAATGCTTATGTAGCCATTGGGCCACATCAGCGGCAGGCTTTCCTTCTAGCCAGTGCATCTAGGCCAATGTGTCTGCTTCAACATTCCCTGGGGATGCCAAAGGCAAATGGCCAGTCACATGATATATGGTAACTGTCTTAGTCTGACCAGAGGCCCATAGGTCTTGCCACAACTCTTGGCCCCAAAGGGGTTAGTGACCAACCATCAACCATCCACCTGGCATGGTACCATGTCTGTAGCCACAGGGCCAAGCCCTGATAGACGGCCAACTGTCCGGGCAGACAGCTATAAGGGGACAGCTCCTAGGTGATCACGAGGCGTACCGTCTGCAACCTAGGCTATTGGCTTCTTCTTCCTCTCTCTGTCCTCCATCCATATTGTCTCAGTCTTAGGATGGAAAACCAGCCGTCTGTGTACCAAGCATCTTCAAGTATAGGGGCTTTTCCATTCAGATATGGACTCTGCTACCAATGGCTCAAAAGCAAGTTTTTCCTGCTTTCCACTGGTATAGGTCACTGGACCCAATAAGTGTTGGAGTTCTCCACTTAAGGCTAGTAGAGAGGGCACAGCACTGCTGTAAATATGTGCCTCAATTGGCCAGTGTAGGTGTCTCTGCCATGTCACTCTGTGGCCTTTGGGTACAGTCTCTCACCCACCCTATAATGGGATAGGTGGTTATTACCTTGGTCAGTGCTTTTCTGGTGATGGGCTGGCTCTGTAGCCAGCAAGGAGTGGTGCACAGCAGACAGTTGCTTCTCTATCAAGGTGTACCGGACCTCTGCTCTTCTCCATAGTTGTGACCAGAATCCAATAGGTTGGCGTGTCCATTCAAGCTGCTGCCAAAGACCCATCCATAACCATCTTCGGTTACATGCACATCTAGCTCACAGGGCCTTGGTGAGTCCATTACACTCAAGGCCTGTACAGACTTGACTGCTCGCTTAGCAGCAATTAAAGCAGCTGCACATGTCTCATCCCAGTCCCACCTGATGCCCTTTTGTACCAACTGGTATAAGAGCTTCAGAATTTGTGCCAGGTGCAGGATAAACACTCTCCAGTAGCCCCCAAAGACCCCAAAACTCTTGTAATACTGCCACAGTGGTAGGGGTGGGGAAAGCCTGGACCTTGTCTATAACTGCTTCAGGAATAACTAATTTTACCTGACCAGACAACCCCAAGAATTTCACAGACAAACCAGGCCCCTGAATCTTGGTGCTGTTCACAGCCCATCCTTTCTCCTGTAGATGTTGCAGCAGTCTAGGAACTGCCCTTTCTAAATCTGAAAGAGAATCAGACATGATTATAATATCATCAATGTAGTGATACAACTGCACCATTTGCGGTTTCTTCCATGTGGCCAAGTCCTGGGCTACAAGTCTGTGACAGATGGTGGGACTGTGGAGGAATCCCTGTGGAAGGACAGTGAATGTCCACTGCCGGCTTTCCCATGTGAAGGAAAACTGTTCCTGACTTTCCTGTGCTATGTCAATATATAAGAAAGCATTAGCAAGGTCTACAACATAATGATACATTCCCAACTCATGGCTGAGGGTGTCCAGAATGGCTGCTATAGAGGGGACAGCAGCATGCAAAGGGGGTGTGACTTTATTCAATTCCCTGTAGTCCACGGTCATATGCTAGGAGCCATTCAGCTTCTTCACTGGCCACACTGGGGAATTAAAAAGACTATGAGCATGCTTTATGATGCCCACCTTCTCCAACTCCTGTAGATTTTCTTCAATTTCCTTGTATTCCCCAGACAATTTATACTGCTTAGTATTTGTCACCTGCTGAGGTGCAGGCAGAGCTACAGGTGGGTGCTTAGCATGTCCCCTCAGATTTTCCTTTGCCACACATACCCTCAGACTGAACTCACCTGCAGTCATCTGTAACCACAGGCCCTGCAGGATATCCACCCCCAAAATATATTCCAGAATGGGAGAAATGTACACAGTATAGGCCTTGGGGGATAAATGCCCTATTCCCAATGGGTTTTGGACTTTCTTCACTCTAATTGCCTTACCCCCATAGCCATCTATCACAGCAGGGGTCCCAGGAAAACGCTCAGGGTTGCCATGATCAGAGAACACTCAGTTCCTGTGTCCACCAGTGCCAGGACCTGTTGTATATTCACAGGGGACCAGTGAATTGCTAATTCTACATGTGGCCTCTGGTCCCCATCACGTCCCATCCCAGTCTATCTGCAATGCCCAGTTGTCGTCCTGTGGGGGTGAAGGCCCAGGCGAATCCTGAGTACTATCTCCTAGGAGGTTTTGTAGGGACACAGGTTGGGCATGAGGCCTTGACTCTGGCTTCCATGTCTTGGACCTCAGCAGCTGGAACTGGTGCTCTGGCTTTAATTGGTGCCACAGTTCTAACAAGATTCTGTTGGGCTGCCCATCAAGTTTTTCTTTCATTACCCCAGCCTTTATCAAATGTACCCACATCCGGGTCCTCGAGACCTTTACAGAGCCCTTTGCACCTCTCCTTTATGTCGCAGCCTGTACTTCCTTCCGTGCCCTTATTGTTTCAACCTCCTCTAGATCTGCTAAAGTACGAGTAGCCTCACAGGTTGGCCTGAGTCGGTGGGGGGCAAGAGTAGTCATTAGGCACACAAAGAGAGAGATGTGGGAGCTGTATGCAGCACCAAATTTCTCACTCCTACAGTGAACACCTCCTCGTTGGGGCCCTGGGGGTCCATTATTATAGATGATATTTTTCATATCCAATTCCTGCAGTACCTCTTGGAGCTCTACGTATTACGTTTTCCAGCTAGTGGGTAAATATG